AGAGAATACAGAGATTTCAGGGGTAGGACAGAAGTCTGAAACCTCAAATTGAATTTTGAAGCATGTGCAATAGTGCCCAATCCCTGGTTTCTTTGACCCTGTTTTGGAAAAGAAATGAACTAGCAAGAAGAATAATGAATTTGCTGTATCTTACTCACAGAATCACACTTTCAGAACTCAGGCCCGTGAACGAATTTCTTTCAATTGTACGTATATTGATATTGTCTTGGATATCTCTGAAAAATAAAATACAATAGAAACTACACATTTTTGAACCTTTGTGAGCCTTCCAAAGTGACATACTATTTCAAACACAGTGCTTTTCCTTATATTCATTCTGAATTACGGGCAGAGGGTAATGACTTAAGTTTTTAAGACATTTTGTCTGCAGAGAACAAACGCTTCCTGGTAAACGAGGCTGGAGCAAAACATTTTCAGCACTCCTGCACTTTCCTTTCGAAGAGGCTGAAGTAATTAAAAATACCTAAAAAACTTGGATCTCATAAGTCTAAGGTGAATGAAATAGTTGCTCTAGCAAACATGATACCCAAAAATGCAAGTGGAGGAGCTGAGAGGCCACCCGTTCTTGCAGCCTCCCAACTACAAGAAGGAGATGCCATTAGCCTTTTTGGCCTGATTCAGCAGGGTACCTACAAGTCCTCGACTCATTCTCCTGCTGATGCCAGCAGGGTTGCTTATAAGCTTTGTATGTGCTTAAGAACTTAAGATGTGGGACCCCTGTCAATGCATTTTGTTGAACCGACAAGGAGGCATTTCAGTCTTTCAGCAGTTTTGACTGATACGAAGAGAGAGACGGCAGATATGCGCTCAGTTGCTTGCTCAAAGTAGACCTCAAAGAAGTTAAATAGTATTGCTCATAATTCAGACTGGGGATATAGTTGTTTTCATGCTGTTTCTGTTGGAAAGCATGGAATGAAATTAATTATCTGCCAAGCTGGAAATTAAGCGCGGTTCCAAAATTATCTCACGCTGACAGTTGAATATGGCCACAGCACTGCATTAAGTGAGAGGCCTCATTCTGCAAACTGAGATTGGCAGAGGTGAGAATAGGGAGGCAGCACGCACCCATAAAAGTGAAGTGCCAAGCCAGTGCCACTGCCAAGCCTTGCACGAGCCCATCAAGACTTTGGGACTTAAATATTGGCACAACTGAAGCCACGGACTCTTATTGACCTCAGTGAGGCTAGGGATTGAACCAAAGTCTAGTTTGGGACTCAAGCATTATCAAGGCCTACAGATCACAGAATCATAGGATCACAGAATCATAGAATCTCAGAATCACAGAACTGTTGGAGTTGGAAGGGACCTCTAGAGATATTCTTATAGGAAAGTGAGGAGTTTCACCTGAAAAAACCCCAAACCTCTTGCTCAGCAGAACACAATAATTCAAGTCCAGTTAGGACTAAACATAAAGGTATACAGGTGAAAGATTCTGTAGCTCCATATCTGTTGAATTTATCTGATAAGAACTTAAGGCAGCCCTCAAGTGCCATCCTCAGAATTATGTACGTCCAGTGCATTACAGGAGTTTATTTCCTATCTTACATGTGTGTATACTCTATTCAGGCATTCCCTGCTACGTTTTCTGTGCATTTCTGTTTATATTAATGACCATTACTCAGATAATTGCACGATTAATGTTTTTGCAGCTTGAAATTTTCCAAAGATTTGAATATGAAGAACTTTGCTTATGCATTAACAATGCATCTTGTCCAAAGGAAGAGAAGAAATAGTTGCTTTTTTTCCTGGGTTTTCTGCTTTCAATTATACTAAGAACTGACTGAAAAATTTATGTCAAGATCTTTTCCAGTAAAAAAATATCATGTTTTTACCGAATATCATGCATTTTTTACAGAAAATAAGGTGTTTTTAAAGGAAAAAAGGACCTGCTTTCACACAAACCTCTACACAAATACTTTTTTCCGCCTTGGCACTGGAATTTTCCACAGAAAAACATATTTCACTCTCTGCCAATAAGCAAAATTGATCATGGTAGAGATATTCCCCTGTGGGTTTTGTTTGTTTGTTTGGATTTTTTCTGTGTGATGTGGCCACCTCCCCACAGAAAACAGCTCCAGGACCAGTAAACTCTTCCTGTTAAGGACAGAGAACTGTCACCAGGTGGCAACAAATTTCCGCTGCCACCAGCTTGGTTTGGATTTCATCTGGTAAAAGAGGAATAAAAGGCCTCTGGGCCATCCAGGCACACATTCATAGCATAGTTAAAAGAAGAGTGGTCTGTAAAGTGCAAGTTACAGCTCTTTCTAGAACAGAGACCTAGAGAGAACTGAGACCTTTTGGGCCACATTATCATCAATGCCTACAAATTACAAACCAAAATGTTACCATGAAGCTAATAAGCAAACACAAGGGGAATGATCTCTTGAAAGGTTTTGCTGAAGCAGGAGAACATTCAAAGGGAACATTTAAAAACTGAAAAGCAGATGTTAAAACTTACAGTAAAACTTTAAAAAAAGAGTGCACCTTATGGACAGCAGGTAAAAACCGAAGACCAGTGTTTGATATTAACCTAAGGGGGAGAGAACAAATGAAGATTATTCGTTCTGCCCCAGGAACTTAGCAGTAATTATCAAAGAAGAAAGAACTTTGGACTTCAAATAGCAGCTACAAAAGGCAGAGTTTAGCCAGAAACAGGGGGTTTGCTTATAGAAAACTTGACATTGTAACCTAAAAAGTTTTTCTCCAAAGCATGAGATGAATTCTGCCCCACTTAAGTCAGGGGAGAAACCCCACCTTGGATAATTACCCGGTCCCTCCTGGTGATCTCAGGAAACTGTTGGTATTAATTTCCCAGTCATATTCTAAGAAATCAATTGCACTAACACAGAATAATTACTTTCGTAGTAGCTCTTTTAAGACAAAAGTATCAACTCACTCACTGCAATTTTAACCTTCTACTCAACAGAGGATATATTAATTCCATGGGAAATAACACTATTTCATGAAAATAAGGGAGAATTAGGATGTTATATTCCCCAGCACATCCAATAGCAAGGAACTGAACCCCTGGGAACATTTCAGCAGGTTGTGTGACTGGAAATGGGCCTAAGCCTCCATATTTAACTACTTCCACCCTCTCATCATGTTGAGCATCACTGGCCTCTGTGTGGAGGTTCCTGTCCATGAAACACCATTCTGGAAACATTGAACATTCAACCTTGTGCCCACATTCAGCATAGTACCATGGTCACACGTATTCATAGGGTGTACCACGTCTAATTTAAGGAAATTTTGTTATCCAGAGCAGTAGCAAGGGCAGGACAAATGTAGTAGTGTGGTGGTTGGTGGCTGCTGATGGGTGAAAGGAGGATTGGGTGCAGCAGGGAGAAGGAACTGAACCAGGCTGGGTTTTGACTAACTGGGAGTTTTTCCCAGGCAACAGAATGTCCCATTTTGGCTTTACCAAAGAGGAAATTTGTGTTCTTGAAGATTTAGTTATAGCTTTATGTTTTTAATATATAAGATTATAGAGAAGGTAACCTTTCACTGAGAATATTGGCTCCTTAAGGAATATATTAGTAATATATGGAAGTTATCCTGACATCTCGACACTTAAAAGAACAAATCTTCTTCCATCACTGGATATTGTGGGGTTTTTTTTGGTGTGGGCTGAATAGCTGAATGGTGATGAAAAGCTCCAGTTGGGACTGAAACAAAGCATTTCATTTGATGCTTTTTATGAACCTAGATTATTTCAGGAGAATTGCAACCTTTCAGTTTTCATAATCTGAACTGAAACTGAACAGTTTAATGTGACAACCAAATCCTGCAGTTGGGCACTCAGGGTGACACACAGATCCATAAAATAGTCATTCACTTGCATCAGTACTGCTCTGATCCCCCTGAGGTGGCATCTGGATATCCTCAGATGTTCAAAAGACAACTTGTTATCTGTCTCAACTTATAACAAAAAACAATGCACTATACACAGGAAAAAAATAAATGAAGTATAGTGTATATGCAAGAAGTCGATTTGGAAAAGTTGCTGAAATGTCATGACTGTTCTGTCTCCTGAGTCAAAGTGGTCTGCCATTGCATTAGATTAAAAATAACAGCTGTCACATGTGACTGCGAAAGCTCTAAAAAAGTGCCTTTGAAAAACTATTGCATACAGTTAAATAGAAAGCATGATTAATGAATCAGGTGTATTTCACAAGGCACTTATTATTTAAAGCACTTTTGCACTTACGCTTTGTAAAAGGAGTTAGCAAAAAAAAAGCAATAGAAGAAGAACCTGTAACTTCCCCTTTACAGTATTTTAAAGTGCACTTTTTACTGGAGTTGTACAGGGCTTTAGTTGAAAGCTGCCTTTAACTTTAAATCAGTCATATGTTAAAAATTCATGCAATTTTTTATGAGCCACTTGTTAAATATGGATTACGGTATGCATTTCCTTTAGTGGGTAAATGAAGAAGCAAACTGCTGTGTGGCTATTGCAGGACAGAGGAGAAGATGAGAACCTTTCCTTTCTACAGTACTTCCCTGAGAAAATCTCAGTCCTTATGTCGCAGTAATGAACGATGACAGGACTCTAACAGATGCTATTCAAATACTGCTCCCAAAGGCAATTTACTCCCAGCGTATCAAAATGCCACACTGGTTAGCAGGGCATTCACCACACGTCAAAAAACACATTCAAAGCTTTGGGTGATGCCATAGTCCTGGTCTTTCCAGTAATCCCAAATTGTTCAGGGCTCAATTTGTAATGGTGAAGAAGAAGGCATCTTTGTGAAATTGTTATATGTTGAAATGAATCTACAGGTGGCACAAAACACTGATTGCACCGAGGCACAGAGCAGTGATTAGGAGTAGGAGAGGATGTTCTTTTAATTAATTGCAGAAAAAGAACTAAAAAAATATTTAGCTAGACTGCAGCCTAGTTTTTCCCTCTCTTTATTCAACCAGCAAATCTCCAGAGGCCTTTAAGTGGATAATCTTGTTAGAATGTAGCTAATCCAATTTACTGAATATCTTTCCTGCAGGACAGTTTTGTCAATATATTTACCATATAACGTATACATCCTGAGTAGCCTCACTTTAAACAAGTGTCCTCTTTAATCTATGTTATAACTGAATCCCCCCTTGCCATGCATAAACAGCTCGGTAAGAATCTGTTTTTCAGATGGCTGATGGCTGCATTCCAAAGCATTAATTGTCTTTCTGAAAAGGCTTACTGGAGTCAGCACTTAGGAAAACATAGCACCATGATCAACGGAAGAAAAAAAAAAAAGAAAAAGAATTATTTCATAAATTAATTCCTAGAAGATTCTAGCTGCTTATCTCCAGATAAAGCAACATGCCTGCTCTTTTTTTACGTCAGATTGGTAGGAGCTACTCTGACAAAACTGAGAACACAGTTTACCTCATCAACTTGTTGTGGGTATTTGCAAAATCGCAAGCCCAAGGTAGGAAGAGATAAATACAATGTCCCTCAGGAAGTGTTATTTTTGTATCCCTTAATCACATTAGTTGCTTTATACAGCATGTGAGCCTGACTCCAGGAAGTTCTTCTGACTCCTGTGTCCCAGCCTTGCAGGTTAAGCCAAGCCTCAACACCCACTTCTGGGACAAGGTGTTTAACCATGCGGCTGTTATGCACAAGGAAGGAATGGAGCATCACTTCTTTTTATTGAAGAGCCAACTCCATGTGAAGGGTCAGTGATTTTGTGGAGGTATCTGCAGCAAATACAAGTCTAAGTTTAGGAGGCATGCCAGGTACACGTCAGGCCCTCCATGGAATAAGACTAGGCAGGTACAAGCAGCTGCAAGACTTTGGAGTTGAGGTCTGCTTTCCACAGCGAAAAATATTTTGCAGATAAAACACATGCTTTTGTGACCTAAATTTCCTCTCCCTTCCAGCAATCCAGCTGTATGTCCTCAAAACTGATCTGAAATGAGTGTTACATTTAAATCTTTCTATTTTAAGCTTAGATTGCTTGGTACAGGACGTCGACACATCCGTTCTAGAAAAGAACCAAAGGACACAGATTACACATGAGAACTAATTTCACAAAGAAAATAGGTTTGAAAAGCCATAATTATATTTTTAAAAAGACAATGCCACAGCTCTCCCTAATGAGACCCAGATAAATAATCTTGTACCCATGAAAAGGTCAATAAGTTACCATTTTGAAGCAGTCTGTCTCTTTGGCATATATCCAGGAAGACCAATTAACAATTCTCTTCACTGTTCCTAGAAGACTAGTGATAAAGTTAAGGTTGCATTTTTCTAGAGAGCTTAGAGTATTTAAGCATTACATTTTTTTTTTCAGTATCACAACTTTTTTTAGCATTTTTCTCTCCTTAGTGTTTTTGCCACACTAGTCATGGTGATGTAGGAGATGAAGGCAGTGGAGTAAGTGGGAAATGTATTTGTACCCAAGTTGACAGAGATAAAAGCATATTAACATTCAGCAGCTAGCGGCTTTAAGGAGCCCATGAAACTGAGGAGAGGGCTGACAAGGCTAGCCAGAGCTTCTTGCCTGCCCATAATTAAGACTGTGTGGTGATACAACTATTTTTTTTAAGCAGCACAGAAAGCCTTGCAAGCAACATGTTGCAAAACTCATTAAATGGATGGACTATAGTGCGTAGGCTCCATCTCAGGCATTAACACTGATTCATATTTCTCTTTTTTTTTTTTAAATCAAAACTGCCAATAAATTTGTATTTCTCTGTCAGATTTTCTGAACTGTGTTTTAGCAGTTCTCTCACAGTTGTAGCACTGTCATGAGGAATCAGACGGTGCGTCTCGTACCCTGCCAGACTGCCGCCACAGCTGGAAGCTTCAGAAGAACCACAGTGAGCCCAGCAGTAGGCAGGCACCTGCGTCCCCCTTGTGCTGGTTTCAGATGAGTCTGAACCTCTTTACAACAGTATCTGGGGATGCCTGTGCTGGCTGCTCTGGCTGATGGGTCAGACCAGGAGGGGCTGCAGAGGTCTATGGCAGGGTCTGCAGAAGAAGGTTGGACCAAGGACATCTCGGAGTACCGGCCTCCATCTCCAGCTGTGCTCGACGTGGGCTGTTTGGGAAGCTGGCTTGGACCCTAGCTGAGGGCAAGATACACCACATAGATGACAGGAGTGTGTTCCAGTGAAACTGGTGTCAGGTTTGCTTTTCCACTCACACAAAACCCCACATATGGTTGGATAGAATCTCCTAATTAATTTTACAACAAGATATTTATGAAATCAATTGCTATTCCTTCCTAGCTTCCAAAGAAAGGATTAGGCTGTGATGTACAATGCTTTGTTAGTTTCTTTTTTAGCTTAAAATTTTTATTGTTTCTCAGATAGCTGTTGACGGCATTTTCATCCACAGAGGGGCTTAAACTTTTTCTGAATTATTTTAAAGTAGTCCCACACATTTACAATCTTTTACTTCTGTATTGTGTAAAGAGAATCCAAAACCAAAACCACAGCAAAAAAAGGAAAAATTGAACACAAATCCCATCAATTCATTAACTCTCCTCGTTGTCTTGCCTTATATTTCTCTAGTTGATTCTTCCTCATATGTCACTGAGTATCAGGACTGGGTTGCCTTTACCAGCCGCCGGTTTGCAGCCTTCCATTGAGGTTTCTGCTTTCTCATTAAATTAACAGTCCTATTCTTTCAAACAGAAAAGCTTTCTGCTTTTTCAGGAGGAGTAGTTATAAAAGGGAAGGCAGCAGTCAGTGAAACAAGGAGATGGAGAAAACGGCAGTCTTTCCTAAAGAAATCCGCCAAGAGAGAGCATGAAGTTATGACTGTACATAGAGAGATTGACCTGAGCATGATGTAACTTGGCATCACACCCAGCTCACTGCTACGTGGAAGGCTCCTACAGGGACTTCCGTGATTCTGTGACGTGACTTCAGGTCTTGCTCCTGATCCCTGTGGTGTGAATTGATGTTGTTCTGCTAAAGCCAAAGGTGTTGACTTAGACCCCCAGCCCAGCGACCTTGAAACTTGTCATTAGCACAAAAGACACATTCATCTGTTCAGACACTCAAAGTCATGAAGCCTGCACCTTTTATACTATTTGTAATCATAAAAAAGCTTTGTTTTTTGTTTTTTTTCCTCCTAAAAAGAAAGGGACAGAGAGGGTGCAGCATAAATCCATTAGTGGACCAAACACCAGAAATGCATTTTATCAATTTAAATTAGAGTAAAGCTGTGGCAAAAAGATGAATGTGAATGAAGTAGCCATGAATAAAATTAGAGGAAATTTTCTAGTCCCCAAATAATTGAGTTTCTGGAAAAGCCTCTCCTGGAAGAAAATTTTTTAAAAAAAAAAAAGAGAGAGAGAGAGAGAGACAGAAAACAGGGAACACTGGAGAGCATTAAAAATGTCAATGAAGCAATTAACGAGATACATGGAGTGGAGTCAGTAAGAAATGAGATGGAGTGGTCTAAGGAGTCTTTTCCGGTCCTGTGTGCCCACAGGAAGGAATACTATAAAAAAATGCCTGAAGTACATTTTCCTCAGATTTCAGCCAGTGAGTAGAACTAGCTGAAGAGGAGTGGAGAATGGTTAGTTAGACAAGCAATCCTTCATATGTTTAATCTCTTGCTTCTCTAGGTCATAGCAGGACTGCTGCTGCTGAATTTTTATACAGGTAGCAAGACTGGATGTCTGAGTCTATGTGTATGGGAGAGTGGAATGACAAAAGTTCAAAAGAGAGTGTCCACTAAAGTCAACAGAAAAAATTCCACTATTTCAGATATGCAAAGTGAGGATTTACCTTTTCTACAAAACCTACTGCTTGTGTGTCCCACATGTTAAAAAATCACTGGAATTAGTATGTTCATTTCTGTGTTCCCATTTTTTCTTCTTGTTCCTCAGTTTTGCCTGAGATAAATGTGCTCCCATTCTTTCTAACCATCTGTGCACCTGACAACTGTACTACCCATAGCAGCTTATTCTGTGTTTTATACATGGGCTAAACAAATATTTTTCATTCATAGGTAGCCAGAATTACTCAAAAAAAGCAGTCACTGATAAATGACTCAAACTTGAAATCAAAGAAAAAAGGCATGTGATTTCTCCTCATGACAATGTAAATTTAAAGCTTTGTTTATCTACTACCAAGATAAAAATGGGTGTTTTGTAAAAAATTAAAGTTTATCAAGGTGCCTGGTGAATTTGATAAAGCAGATATTGGTAAAAATACTGTGGAGAACGACAACATTAATGAAAGTTAAACCACATATTCTAGTTCCATGAGAGTTCAAACCATCTCTCTTGAAGTTCAAACCTTAAACCTAAAATCTTAAAGTTCGATTTCAATCCAATGCCTCTTGGCATTTTTGAGATCAGAACCTCTCAGATGCTAGTGATTTTCAGAGACCTTAAACACTCATTAGCTTACTGGGAGCTATGCTTATTAGACCATTGACCTGATTTCATCCTATCTTTGAGAAATATCTAACCAGACAATTAAGCACTTACTTTTATGTACTCGAAAGTAGAAATCATGATCAGGCTTCTTATAAGTAAAGCTTCTTGTATAAGTAAGGAAAACAAAGTTAGGTATATGTGCTCAGGTGGATGGGCATAGACAAGATAAGTTAATATCCTGCTGGGTGTATATGCCATTGTTGAGCAAAGAACACCCTGGGAGCTTATTTAAGCTACAGCCATTAAAAAAAAAATTACTGTTAAACAGAGTTCATTGGAATTTGTTGGGGTTTTATGCAGTCAAGAGATTATTAGTCATGTTAAAACCACATGCTAATAGCTGTGAAAATAATTTTGGGTAGCAGTTTATTTTCAGGAGGGATTCAATTATCATTGAATTGCGATTCCAACCCCATGGGAGCGCACGTGGCAACCATAGTGGTGCAAGCATCATTCTTGATGAGATGGCTAATGAAATAAATTTATACTGTACACCAAAACATTTGTATTCTAAGGTTCTAATCATCTTACATCAAGCATTAATGAAAACTATTGCTATAGCACTGCCATTGATAAAGAGAATTTGAATGCTTAATACCATGTGTATGAAGTATAACAGAAGGCAGTACCATAACAAAAACAGATGAGAGAGATTTTGTCCCAAAGCTCTAGGCAAGAATTTAAACCTCAATTTGTTTTTATAGACAGAAAAAATGTGCCAAGCTCCTATTCTCATCACCCAGTTTCAACCTGTTGCTTATAAAGGCTCAAGGATTTTATGTGTGTGGATACTCCATGGAAAGTATTATCTTCATCTTTCCTGAGGACTGTGTGCAGGCCTTGGGATGAAAATGTAAGCTGACAGTTTGCAAAGAGGAGGGGGAGGGAGAGCATTATCCTGTCCTCTTTACCGAAAGTGCTCAGTACAGGTTGGACAGAACCACACCTGCATCATTCAAAATGACTATAGTACTTGTAAAGAGCAAAAAGATCTTACAAATATCTGAGGCTTGGAAGGTGTTGGAAGGCATCTTGATCAATGTACACAAGGTTGTTTGCCTTCTCAATTCTTCTGCAAAGAGAAAACAAAACAACAGAGGAAATATATCAATACACTGATCTTAAAATATCTGTCATTGCTCCGTGGTGCGGTGTACTGTACACTGAGATTTTGACAGCAGATCTGCATGCTTTTAAAGAGCTGCCTGCCAGAGACAGGCAGACTTCCCCACCTTTTCATATAAACAGTGGTTTGAGGATAAGTTTTAGGCTGACCAGGGAAAGAAAGGGACAGTTAGATAAGAAGATGGAAAAGATGAAGAGAAATTTCAAATGTTCCTTCAGAGCTTACCTGAACCAAACAGCAAACCCTTTGATTCTTGCCTATAATGAATCTTTATAATTGTCTCCTTTGAATTTAGATTGCTCATTACTTACATTTCATGTAGTTTTGGAAGGTTGGAAAACACATTTGCTTCTATGACCTCCAAGGCATCGTTCTGGGAGATCTCTCTGAAAAATAATTTAAAAGTCAAGATACTTCAAGCCATTGTGAATCAGAGAATGGAAAAATTCACAAGGACCTTCTTCCTAGATTACTGAGGAGTTTTAAAAATAGAGTGGATATCAGATAAGAAAACAAAACCCCCAAAACATCCACGAGCTGCCAAACAACAGCAGTCGGGAAGAGATATCTTCTGAGGCTGAAGTTTGTACCTGTAATGGCAGTCCTGCACATCCTGCTGTCACCATTCTCTGTGTATTAGAAGGCAGGGCCCATCTGTGGTTGTCTACTGGATCTCTGATATCAGTAATTAGTGACAAAAATGTAATGAAAGCTTTTAATTTGGTGAAGAAAAAAAGCAGGTGAAAGGTAACTGAAAGAGATAAGACAGCTAAAAAGTTCCCAAGAAATATAACAAAACTTCATCAGTAGATCATGATGTTGTCTTGACTTGATGTAAATTACAGAGACTAAAACTAAGCCACCAGCAGTCACATCCTTATTAGCAAGAGCTGGAGACCACAGACATGAAGAAGTCTTCCATACCCTGGAGAAAATCCTATCTGGTCTCTTCTGTATGCAAATAACGTCTACTTACAGCCAAAAAACTGCAGGACAAAAATGACCAGTGTTCCATTATCAGCACACCAGAATGCATCTCCTGCTGGTCCAAACCCTATTTTTTTTCTTCCTCCTTTATTCTGTGGGATGGCAAAGAGATGGCTCAAGCTCTGGTGTAATTTAGAGCTCAGGAGTTCTCCTGATGAATCAAGGAGTAATTCCTGCAGCGCAACCTGTCCTAATAACATCCCTTATGTGGGCAGTGACCAGGAAAGTTGAAGTAAACACAGCTACACCAAAAGAATCCCCACTGTCATTTTTGGGAGCCATGCAAATATGCTATTTCCCAGGCTGAGATTAGCTGGAGGAAGTAAAATTTGTAATACAGATAAAATTCAGTGATAGTGTGATGGTCGATTAGATTTTAATGGCAAGGTAACTGGGCACATATTTGGAATGAAACCTTGGACTACTAATCAGACTGCAAACTGTCTGGCATTTGTTCTTGGATATCTTGCTCTTTTGAAGTTATATTGGTTGCAGATAGATTCAAATAGGCCTGAGGTAAAACAATAGATTGTAACGATAGACGCAGAGTCACAAAAATTATCACAAAAATTATTACAAGTAATATAAAAAATATTCCACTTCTTTCTGACTAAGAACTGAACCATACCTGACAAATTACCTGTCCATTTAAGACAAACAAAAGCCTTGCAAAAGAGGATAAGTTGCTCATCTGACCTTTTCTGCTTTAAAAAAACCTTGGTGGCTTGAGATTTTGTGTTTTATTAAGAAGCTCTCCCTCCTGTTTCCTCAAGGTTTTTAAAGAAGAAACCCATCTCTCCTTTGTTCTGGGAGCTCTATACTGACTGGAGAAAAAGAAAATAAAAGCACAGCAGGACTGACAATGGGAGCTCAGTAGGTGCGATGAGAACTGGTTTTGTTTAGCAGTGCTGAACCACCAGCTCATATGTAAACATGTTCCTCTGTTATTTAGGTTTCAGCACCAACAAAATCCTTTGACTGAGGCTGATATTCCTGTGCAAGACACACACACATTGGAAGGGATATTTCTAAGACTTTTTATTATTTTCCTGTTTTCTTTAAAAATAATGCATTACAAAATATACAGTAGAAGTAATCACTTTCTGTGCTGTATTTATACAACAGTAACATTCACTTGCTTAGTTACAGTCTAGAAGATTTAACAACATGGGAGGTGTCTCAGACTTTTAAGATTCAGTTTGGTTTTGCTTGTGCTCTTTTTGGGCGGTCAGCAGTATATTTGCCATTCCCTAGAATCTAAGTCATTTGTCTAGGGAAAAAAAGGAAAATCAAAGAGAAAGCAGAACATTTAACACCAGTGAATCCATTTTGCCAGAAGAGATTTCATGCCACTAAACAGCTCAAGGAAAAATTTTGCAGATTTGTTGGCCTTATAGAGGCAAAAAAAAGTTTATTAAGGAACCACAATACAGTAGTGACCTCACCTGACAAATAAGGCTGTTGAGGGTAATAATTTTTTATGATCCAATCTGCTATCTAAGTTTGGAACAACTTGGACAATATACCTCTTTTAATGGTATGCTTAAAATGGAATGTTTCTGCATCAGTGGAGTGTTTTGTCTTCCTAAAAGTAGGATGGGGGTTGGGCTTTGTTTCAGTTACAGAATTGGAAGATAGAGGTTTGATTAAAGTAGGGCAGGAGGAGGCCACGACACTTCGGAAGCTTTGGAGAATGTGTGGTTGAGACAGGAATGAAAGAGAGGTAGGAAGATAGCAATTTCTAAACTGTTTTTACAAGATTTTTGAAATAATTAAATAGCACTTTTATGAGGGGGGCATTTCAGAGATTTGGAGAATGACTTGGCTTTCATTCTAATATTTCCACTCACAGTTACAAAGGTGAGAGTAATTGGTTTTTTAGTAGGTAATAAAAATATTTCCATTTAAAACGATTTTTTGCTGTCTTCCAGCCCAGGCAAATAACTACTGCAGCTACTGTGGTTCTGAGCCTCTCTAGACAAGCAAAGAAAATGAAACTTACCAATGGCAGAAGGCAGCAACCCTTCGGGTGTTGGGCTTTATTCTCCATGTTCAGAGGATTGTTAGGGGTGGGGTAAAGAGCAAGACCCTCTGTCCCTCACAATGAATTGTGCATCCTCTGCTAGAGTCTCTCAAGGAAATCCTATTGTTGATGGCCTTGCTTATTAGTATTCTTAGCAGAGGAATCGCAGTCTACAGCATGTTTTTAGGACAGAAGGCCATTGCTATCCCTGTCCTTTGGGGTGTCCAATTAGCTGTTACAGGCTGTCGTTCAGGTGAGAAGGATAAGTTAACAGAAACAACATTCAGTTTAGGCACACACTGTGAACAATGGGCAGCACTAGCCTGGGTTTTCATTGCATAATCTGTGTGATTTATTGTACCTGGCAAAAAAATACTCCTCCTGATCATGGAAAACTGAAAGAACCCTTTCCTGGATACAGGTATCTGTGGCATTGAAAGTACAAACTACTGCTGCTCACATCAAACAACTGAATCAACAGACTCAGATCTTCTGTAGGAGAGACCAAATGATACCTGCAGCAGCAGCTACAAACAGAAAAAGGGGATTGCTGGCTAGTATTTGTGCAAGTGATTTGTCTTACGGTATAAATACACACAAACAAATGATTGCTCATAATGCATATCTTATAATATGTCATCACGAGAGAAAATGGGACTGTTATTATGTTGTTTGTTTGTAATGAATGATACTATTCACTCTACTGCTAGATATCACAGCAAATCCAGATGGCAATTTGAACATCCTTTCTGATGCATGCAAGCCTTTGAATAGATGATATGCAAAACAGCCATGAGCAATTTCTTAAAAAAAACACACCAAACCTTCAAAACCTCAAACCACCCAGTGGCTGCAAAGTGCGTAAGCTAAGTTTAGCTTCCACTGCACGTACAGCTCTACTGATATCAGCAATGATCTTCAAAAGCATAAATTGTTTACTTGAACATAGACTAAAAGAGGAAAAACTACTCAGTAAAAATGTTTTACAAAGGCACAAAGGATAATTGTTTTTATTTCTCTTCAAAGAGAACATAAAACTTTGAGGTGTGACAACATCACAGGACTAAGGAATTTCCTCTGATTTGCCATTAACATAGCAAACTGTAACTGTTACTACCTATTCACAAGCAATCGACTGCAGTGCAGCACTTCCATGAGTGACAGCCAGAGCCAGTGACTGCAGGAAGAGACAGAAAACAAGGAAGAGGAGGAAGGTGCTGCCCAGTCTTAGCCTAGCTTAACCAAGCTGTCCTTGGGCAGGCCTGGGGGTACATCTTCGCAACATCTGCAACAGAGCCCAGCTTGAAGCATAGGAGGTATTCCTCCTCAAAACAGCTGCACTCAAAGCACAACCCATTAAAAATCAAGATACATTGAAACCGCTTTAAAACAATTCTATTAGCAAGAAATTTATAGTTCATGGCAGTATCTTTGCAGTCCTCTAAAGAAAAAAGTCTCTAATCAAACTCTTACAGTAAAAGCAAGACTCTATTAAACTCATAAACTAATGGTCTTGCAGCCAAGTGGTCTCATACTTCAAAATAATCAACGAATAAAACCCTGGACATTTATATGTCTTTTATGAAAAGAATTCCTTTCAGGATGAGAGCAGAGCACACAAACAAGAGTAGGGTCATTTTTCCCCTGCTAGGAAATGCGCCTATTTAAAACAAATGTGTGTGCATATATGTGTGCATATATACAGATACAGAAGTTTAACATAGGTGAAGAAGTGGAAACTTGTGTCAAAACAAGAGCAAAGCATACACATAGCAGAAGACCAGCTTAGAGGCAGATCACAGCATCCGTCCCTCACATGGTGCCCAGGGACATACGCCCTCAAGCATGAAGATCTTCTAATAACAGCAGCAGGAAAGACACGGAGTGACAGCTGCCCAACTAGTGAGCTCAGCTGTATGGTGACCACAGTAAATGTGGGATGTATGGATTTCTGCGTTTCACCTCCCCACATATGGTGTGAAGGGGGAATTTCCCTCCTCTACAGTCACACTCTCCTCCTCTGTAGTGTTGGGTGAGACCCACTCCTTGCAAACTCTTGGATGCTTTCCTTAAATTCCCTTCCAGAGCAGGTACATATGTGGGCTATACCCTTGAACAGGTCACCTTATGTTTCCTGTGATACATCATAATTGGGCCTTTTGGCTTTTCATCCTTAGCCTCTGAGGCAGCTTTTCCGAATTTTTTCTACCTGAAGAATTTTTTCTACTTTGTAGGTACCTGCAATTGGCAGCAATACTGTAGGTGTAAGGTACTGATTCCCAGAGCAGGTGGCCTCATTGGGCTCTCTGTACTGCAACAAATGAGCAGCTTTGCATTTATTCAAGGGAAAAGATAATGAAAAAACAACAAAAAAGGGACAACCATTTTTATCCTTTTCCCCTTTCTTTAAATATAAATATTCTTTAGAGCAATTTGGCAGGTCAGTTTTACTCAGTGGTTTGACTGATGCCTCAATTTATGTCAAGCTAAAGCAGGAATTAGCAGTGATGTGGTGTCACACAGCCAAGCCTGCTCAGCCTTTGCTGGTTGAGCACTCTTAAGAACAGCTCACAATGTGTCTTAACTGAAAAACTGAATACCTGGATACCTCTGTCTCCATGTCGTAGATGGAGAAGCCCTTATTTCTCTCAGTCTGATCAGGAACAAATCAGTCTGAAATCTCCTCTTGAAAACTTCCATCTAAAGTGACAGCAAAATGCTACTATGTTGATTTAAACAGGTTACAAAGGAAAAGCTATTTTTCTTAAAAGTATTAGAGACTTTTGACCTTTTAAAAATAGACAGTTGACACTTTCTCCTGCAACTTTCCTTGTGAACATGAAAAACTTGTCTCCCTGCCATGATTTATTGAACACCAGGGAGTTACAGGCTAATATTTCTTTGCAGTTATTGACATTTTAAAAATGAATTCATGCACTGACTCTTCTTATCATCCCTTTACTTTGCTGAAGACATATACACAAGTCGTTCTGACCTGACTGAATAAGTGGGATACCCATTTAACCGAGAATTAATAGTGATTTCACACTTAGAGCAAAACAGCGTATACTTAAGTCTTTGAAGGAGTTTATCAGGAGGCACCAATACTGTGTCTTCTTGCCTTCTCCAAAGGGCATGACACCATATTCTCAAATAAATCAGTACAGGCATGGGAAAAATAAAATGCAAATTTCCTCACAGCAGACGGAAGCAAGGGGATTTTATTTCTATCGGTGCTTTAGCACCATGCCAGCAATCCAGATGAAAGTCTGTTGAGAGTTCAGTTGCATCAAATTAATTGCCCATGTAACAGTTTTACATTGGTCTCTCTAATCTGAAAAAGTGCACGATTAGTCTGCAGAATTGGAACCGATAACGACTGGATCCAACAGCAGAAGCCACATCACTAAAAGAATTGATTTTATAATCAGTACAGTTTGGGGGGAATAGATATCTCTTCACACTTGAGCACTAAGGGGATGTATTATACTCGTTTTAGTTTATTGCCAGCAAAGCTGAAAACACGTGAAGCTTTGTAGGACCAAAGAAGCAAGGACTGAGTCTCTGGAGGAAATGACAGCTTTTGGCAGAAATGCTGGCTTCACAAGGGCAGCCCAGAGAGGTGGGCTTTGTAGCTTGGTGCCCTTCAGCTGCTGAGGCAGACTTACCTGTTGCCTTCTGCGTTTGGGTGTTGCTAAATTTTACCTTTGACTGTGAAATCTTGTACAGAAGACAGAAAAATATCTCTTAAAGAAACCCCAAACAAAACGCCCTGGCAATGGCACTTCTTTCTCAGACACGATGGGCTCCAGAGCGTGCTGAGACCACGCTGGCAGACGAAGATGCTTGTTCAGCTGAGGTAGGGACGTCCTCACTCAGAGATGCTGATGTAAGCTTCATGCCCACATTATAACTCCTTCCACAGAAATGTGCTAGCAGCATTTATTGCCACTTATCTTTTATTACCTCTCTCCTGGCTTTGATAGCCAGCTAATGATGAATAGTTTTCTTAAGTTGACCTGGGCAGATGATGAGATTACATTTGAGATAAACTCTCAGGAGAGCAGCTGAGGGTGGAAACGGGGAAAGTAATTTCTGGGGAAAATCAATAGGCGGACTGTCTTGGATTGGCAGGGCATGTGGCTTCCAAGACTCAAAGTCTAGTGACAGGGTTTCCAAACAGACAGTTATGAAGTAGATGTTCCCAGACACTTCAACAAACAGTTTTGAAACACTTTAAGGAAGCACACATGCACAAGAGGCTTCTGGAGGACAGTTCATCAATACTTCCAGTGCATTAAAGAAACAAAGAAAATCTGGACTAGCCAGTGCCTTGGATATGCACAATTAAATTTTTTAGCTAAGAGGGGGAAAAAAATCCCTCATAGTCCTCAATTTTGGCATTAAAAAATCTCCCCAGGCTTATGAGAAGACTCTGAGCATTCACCAGAGTGAATCATGCCTTATGTTACACCCACTTCAGTTAAAATAAATCTCCATGACTTGACCCATCGTGGGAAAGATATTAGGATTGCCTAATGTTAAGCACAGTTGTGAACACAGACATTTTCTTACAGCTGGTAACACCATCCACTACATCTTTCAAATGTTCTCCTGAAGGGATTTAAGTTTCTCTTATTCAATGTTACAGTGTCCCTATGAAATACCTTTTTCCAGCACAGTGATTTCCTTCTGTCTTCTTTCCTATTTGCATTCATTCTTCCCTGTCATAAAAACTACTTACCATTTTTGCCGTTTGTGTCTAACTGAGGTCTTGACCTTACAAACTCTTATCCCTGAGCCTTGGCTCCAGGATCAGCCAAGACCCTACTGTATAAATGTTTGCATGATTGGGGTCCTCAGATATAACCTGCCTGGGGAAAAGATATTCTTTTAGGCTTCCAGAGGTAAATCCAAACCTCTGCTTTGTAACAGACTGTCAAAGAAAATGCACTAGCAAGAAGCTACTAAGTCAAAAGCTTTAGAAACCAAGTGTGTAACAAGGGTTATTTATCTGATTGCAATACTGTATTATCATAAGCAGAAAAAAAAAATTACGATTTTGCCCAAATCTGCAGGTTCTTTACTGGAGGATGCAGAGATTACATACTATACAAACATGGGAATTACACACAATCCCTAAACCTTTAGATAGGTGGCTGGTGGCTGCAAAGAGGAGCCTGATTCTGTACATTTAGAGTCTTATTTGACAAATAATCAGACACTTCTTAGCTCTGAAACCTTGGAAAATCATGTGCCTCCACCTGAGTTTCCCTGACACAAACAATCCTCTTCTTCAGCAAACGCTGCAAGGGTCCACAGAGATAAGAAAATCTTAGTAGCAGGAAGGCAACATAACATAAAACTTGAGCCAAAATCCAATATATTAATATGTTTCTGTGTTTGTGTCTATATACACACAACATTCCAATAAAAGCAGTAGACCCATGACCACACAAACGTATTTACTCACTAAAATGAGGCACCTGCAGCCTTTCTGCATATGAAACCTCATTTAGAAGGATCTCTGCCACAACTCTGGTGTGTAATGCAGGCTCGTAGAAATGACAGACAAAAAAAGGTTTCCCGCTATCGTCTGCTGCTGGAGTGCTTTAACAAGTTAAGTCCTCAGACTGGACTCAGGCCTTTGATGGGGAACCCACAGGATCGATTTCCCCAGAACAGTCTCTGTAGGAATGAAGCAAAGCCGTTCAGAACCCAGAGGCACTCCCTGGCCACGTGGGAATGACCTGTTTCTCCTAAGTAAGAGCACTTTGATCTCCCTGGGAGCCCTTCTCCTCCACACTGTCCTGGGTCATATCTAACTGGGGACATAAACAGAAGTTGGAGCTAGAGATGAGGCAAAACTCCCTTATCTGCAGTAGTTCCTCCTTCTTCATCAAGGGAGAAGAAAGAAGAATCATCCTTCCCAGCCACAGTGCTTAAAGGAGGCCAGTCAAGAAACATAATTTGAATTAAAATACGGTGTTTTCCTTAGAAGTTGCTGTACTGCATTGCATATACTTATGATATTTTTCTGTCTGGCTTCCTATATTGGTGTAAACAAACTGGAACTTGCAGTGTTTTCATAGCACACAAGCCTGGCAAAACCTTTTTGTTTCCAGTAAAACACTGAAAAAACTACTACTGATGCAGGGGGAGGAAAAGAATCCTGAAGAAATCCCAAACCACAAAAATTAACATTTGGAAAAGTCATGTGAAATACACTTAAAAAAATAAAAAAAATTCTAGTTGCTATCAATGCTTTAGTTGAGACTGAAGGAGCTTTCAGACTCTGCAGCAGAAGGCATCGGAATCCATTGGCTTTAATGTTTTGGATCTGTATTTACATCAATGTTCTACATTTTAGAGTTCATATTGTCCTATAATTTTAAATACGTATTGTCTCTAGAGAGCAAACAGCCCAATATACAAAAGGACACAGAAGTACACAAACTCGAAGGCAATCCCCATGAGCGCAATTTAGCTTTGAGATTTAAAGGAATGTTTTGTGTATGTTAAATACCTAAATAAAAACTACAAGGCAACTACTATATTGTTTCTTCCATCAAACTGAAAACAAAATAATGTACTTTTGGACTATTTTAACAGGAAAATGAAGAAAAAATATAATGTACTACAAACCATGATCAAAGCTCCCTCTGGAAGATGTTCTATCTTGAAGTTACCCAAATCCTGAAGGATTTGGACTGGATCCCTGGAAAGGACTGAATTTTTCTTACATGCAGAAAGGTATAGCAAACTGAAAGCACACACTTCATCCTTCTATAAAAAGGTAAAAGGTTTTATATTCTTTCTGTTAGTTTGAAGATGGCTCTGTGGGATGGCTCTGGCTAAGAGATTCCCCAGGTGAATCTCTTGTGCCCCATGCCCATCTGGGAGCCTTTGGTGAGGACAGATGAGGCATCAGCTAACTATAAGGGCTTTTAATTTGTAACTTCCCAGGGGGCTAAATTACTGGTAACATGAAGTGAGTACTTCAAAATGGCAGGCTCAGGACTTGTCTCTGTGATGGCACCTTTTTAACAAGAGAACCATACAAAGCTCCAGACCAGATGTTTTGGTTTCATTGTTAGAGTAATTTTACTCTGATTTATTTGATCAATGTATGCACACTTCTACTTTTCTTTTTTATATTTAGATGGCATATACTTGTTAGTAATTAATCATATCTTATTTTCAGTTAAATAAGCATGTCCTGTGAGCATACAAGTCCCAAGATGCCATAGATAGAATACTCCGCTTATTTATGAGACTTGATAAAAGAGATTCACGTTGCACAGTGGCTGCATTTCTGCTCACTTTCTTTCTTTACTTGCTGCTAAAGTCAATTTAAGAATGAGAGGGGCAGAGAAGCTCATGTTTTCTTGGGTATGACCCAGACTCAGCACATCCCTATCTCCAGTCTTGTGACTATCTTAGATATATTTTTCCTCGTCATTCAAACTGCCCAGAAAGGCCATAACACGATGCATGTTCTTATATCCTCCTCCTCCTTAAAGATGTGCAGATGGAGACACGTTAGTAAAGCTAAGATTTGTGTGTGATACGACTAGATATTAAGGTGCCAAAGGAGGAGAAAGAAGACCCCCATTAAGA